GCGACCCGAACGAAAAGTGTACTGTCAGTCACCGGTGACTGACACGGCGCTTAACGTGTTAAGTGGAAATAGAGAAAGTTTAAACTTGCACAAAGATTCAATGCAAAAGTTGTGACGAAAGAAGACGTCTTTTTTTTTTTTAACAAGGAGAAATAAACTTTTACATTTTTACTAATTTTCAAATGGAGTAGCATAATTATATTGATCAATGATTTACATTTATTTTATAACTTGTTACTGTAACGTACATCGAGGTACTAATAAATAATCCGACGATCAATGCAATTAGCTTTTCTTCATTTCAAAATGGCGGTTGCTCTCATTAACGGAAGACTGACATTGATGAAAAGATATATTAACGATATTCGTTTCGTATTCTATTTCTTCTCATAATTTTTTAACGAAATTTTAAACACCTATATGTTTATGTAACATTTATTTCTTCTTGTTTTCACTTGTGGAACGTATTTAAAGGAAGTTCAGAGTCCGGAAATCTTAGAGCACCGCGTATATACAAACGTTGATTATTGAAAGTTACCAGTTTTACGGTTATCAATGAACAAACTTCATTTCTAAATTATCCGAGATTAATTAGCTGAAGCGAACGATAAAAAATAATCATAATTTGTACCGTACACGCGATATTTCACGAAGTAGAATGGTTCACATAGTTGCGAGGTGATTACGGGAACTTTCGGTTTTACCGGACTAATTACCGGGAGCTGCGTAACCCTTTGACATCCGGCTCTTTAAATTTCATTCCAAACTGCCGGTGAAATTTAACAGAAACTTGCAAACTGACCGACTGGTTTTACGATTCAATTAATGTTCCGCATATGTATGTACTCGATGAGCGTAATTTCGTTTAACAAGTTGCGTTTAATACCGAGAAATATCTGTATTTCCGTTTCTATCGTGGAACAAAACGCGCGAAGTGAAGTTCGTCTCGTAATTTATCGATAAACTCTTCGCAATAGATACGAGTATTTAAGTACAACCGTAAAACTTTGGAAAAGTGAACTCAAGCCGTTATTTCCTCTTCACATACTTCCATTTTTATTTCCCTAAAAATCATACCAATATGTATGTTCGTTTCACTCGACCAAAATGGTAGAGACGTAAAATTTTAGTATCGTTACAATTTTCAAGACTGCAGTTGGATAACGTCGAATAAAACGAAGAAGTATACTCTTCCCAAAGATAAGAGAATTACGATTATCGTTGAAGAACGAAATGAAATTTTGAAAAATGAAAAATGTCGTCGATGTTCGTAAGCAAGAACTCTTTCCAAAGATAAGAGAATCACGATTGTTCAAGAACGAAATGAAATTTGAAAAAAAAAAAAAAGAGAGAAAATGTCGGTGGTCAAAGGCTCGTCGAGAATGAACCTCGAGAATGAACTTCGGCCAGGCGTATTTGCGTGTGTACGTGTGTAGTATGTGTGGGTAGGTGTGCACAGAGAGAGAGTGCGACTAGAACGCAGGTTACACGTGTTCGTGACGCCCGGAGGCTCTTCAGACTGGGTTTACACGTTCGTGCAATTTGCGCAAACTGACGTACGCGTGTAAATTTCACTATGAAAAATGTTCTTTAGGAACGAAAATAGGGAACTTGTTTGAATTGAAATCAGTTGAAAAGTTGCATTCTCAAGAAAAATTCTTAGCTTTGGGGTGAACGATTTGAACCCTAGCAAAGCTATCTACATTATCAGCAAACGATAAAAAATGTTTCATTCTTATTAAAAAAAAATCGTACTACTGAAATTATCGTAATTTTCATCTCTATTGATTTTCTAAATGTTCTGTTGTATTATTAAAAAATCGTACTATTGAAATTATCGCAATTTTCATTTTTATTCATTTTCCATCGTCAAAAATGTTCTGTTGTACCGATGAAATTTCAAATCGCCATTTTTCAATTAAAACAATCGATCCTCGACGATATCGACTGTACCAATATCCAGAATTTCATTCATATACAATCGATTATTCTCGAACCAATCAACTTCCTCTATTACGTAGACGTAGATGATCGATTAATCATTCGAACGAATATTCCAATTAAACCTACTCCGTCATTTATACAAAACACTTTCCAACAAAAAACGAAGACAAACATAGTTCACACACCGAAGCCTCGGACGAGATGTCTCAACGCTGATATGCAATCCACTTTGCGCCCAATTGCACGAACATCGAACGTAATCTCAGCCCTGGAAAACACGCGTGTATACCCTTCCCCTCTCGACGATATATACGTTTTTGGCCCACGGAATCTCGACGCGACAGAAGCCCATAAGGTGACAAGAAAAAGAACGATCTCCCCTAGATCTCCCCTAGTAGATTAACAAAGATCATTACATCATTGTCTCCCTACAACTGGTCATGCTATCGACGTCTAACTGCAGATAAGGGCAATCGTTCTCGCAGAGGGTAGCGCTTCCAGCCGCTGTTGCTGGCCCGTTGCACCAGCCCTCGTGGTGCAGGGTGCTCGTGAGGTAACACAATACATCTAGAATCTCGTTAATGCGCTAGGAGCCCGGATTCGCGTTCTCGCTGCTCCTCCGCCTCGATTCTAGCTCTTGTGCCAGCATCGCCACCTCCCAGTTATTGTGCCCGTCACGACGCACATCCCCGTCCTCGTCTTCGTCGTTCTCACTATCGCTCCTGCCTGTCGCCCTGTCCTCGAACTCGTCTTCAGACCTGCTACTCTCGCTATTCGACTCCAGGTCAATCGCCACCTCGTCCTTCCACAAATATTGCGGTACTATCGAACTAGGCAGTTCTTGGAGCTCCAACGTCTCCTCCTCGGAGTGCTCCTCCCAGGATCTTCGGTTCTGGGAGCTGGACTCCGTGGAGGGAGAGGAGCGTTTGTAGTGAGGACGAGTGGTGAGGACCGTGTCCACCGAACCGTCCCTCATGAACGGGTGATCCTCTCTGTCGTCGTCCAGGTCCTCCTCCAACGAGGCGTCGTGCTCGGTGCTGTCGCCAAGAGAATCGTCCGCGTTTCGAGACTCCCTTTGTTCCAGCTCTTGTATTCTCGCTTGGAGCTGGGATATTATCTCGTCCCGCTTACGGATCTCGAGCTCCAGGGAGGTGTACTGCCTCTCGAATTTCGTCTGAATGTCCTCCTGGAAATGGTAGCAGTGGTACGGGATTAGTTGCGGCTCGTGTAACTCGCGAAGGTGTGACATTAGTATTTCGCGGGAGTTCTGGGTGTGAGATAACTTCAATTCCCAAGTTATTTCATTATACGCAGAGATTGAGTTTTGATTACGCTTCTGCGGGGGTGTAATGTGCAAAGTTCCCAGTCTAATCTGGGAATAGTTTTATTTCTTTCGTTAAATTTTTTCACTTCTGTATATAGAACGTAGCCATACACTGCTGGCGAAAAGCTTGGAGTCGTTCGGAATCTCGAAGATCAAGAGATTTCTTTTTATCGGTTTAACAAAACCAACGATTGCAAACTTTTCGCCAGTAGTGTATTCTTTTTCGAATTTACAAATACAAGATCGGTTCGCCGGATGCAGATGGACACGTTTGCCCGCGGAAATTAACCGTGGACGTCGTTGGTTAAGCGCAGCATGTTAACGAGCGATATATTAGCGATTTGTAAACAGGAAATAGTATGCAAATGAACGAGGTTATAAGTGGTCGCGGGGAAACTTCTTGCGAATAGAGCGCAAGGGAACTTTCTGCTGAACTGTTCTGAAGTTGGCAACTTCGAAGCCAATATCTTCGAGGGAAATTACTCGAAACCTTGGGAATCCTGTAGAAGCTCCATGGGAAATGCTCTTATCTCGATCGTATTTCTTGACAGCCTTAGATCTTGTTCGGTTTCTTAAAAATTTTGCACACCGCTATCTTCCCTTCGAGTTGTCGATTTCAATCAGATAAAAGAGCAAATAAGTAAATTTTTAGTTTTGCAAAGATGCAACTTTGCGTCAACTGGTAAGTGTAATATTGGTAGAGTTTAGTCATTTTCACATCATACTGAAATACAACTGATGGACTGTATCGTTAAATGTGTGTATACATCTCGTTTCTCACACAATTTTATTTTTAAAATAATATGAAAAGTGACAGTTCATTTTTGTTTTCTTTACAGTTTTAGCCCACTTGAGGCTGGAATGTTCCTCTTAGTTGTATTAAAAAATGAGAGAAACAGTCCTTGTTGTGGACTATTCATTACCTTAACATCAAACTAGAATTAATATTAATTTTTCTTCGTCTTTTCTTCGGAGAACGATCGATAGTATAAATCTCTTTATAAGACGTACACTCCCGTTCACAAGTATTAGGACACTTATCGAATGTGAACTAAATCTAAACAGTCGCTAATAAAATTCCATCTTATTCACCCCTTAAAGCCGTTTAAATTACGTACAAATATTTTTGCGTAATTAGGTGGCCTGTTTTACGTGGCTCATAGTGACTCTAACTTCAACTGGAATATCGAGATAAGCAATTTCGAGTCATTCGTGTTCCATATGTTTCTGAGTTTACTCAAAGCTCAGATTAGTATCGTTAACACCGACTTTACTTTATTCTTCGAAGAAACACAAAGTAAAGTTTAATTTCAAAAAACAATGTGTCCTAACACTTACGAACTCCATTCCATAAAAATCCATCAAACGAATCTCAGTTCATCTTGCCCTCGTTGAAAAAGTAATACCAAACACCGCTTTCGTCATTTGACACCCTTAAAACGACAACCCAGAACCAAAATATCAACTCTGCGTCTCGTACAGAACATTAAACCATCTTCCATAAACTCTTCAACCGCAGAAGAAGAAGAGGAAGAGGGAGGACGAAGAAGAAGAAAAATGAGAAGTAAAAAAGGAGAAACTTACCAGACGGTCCTTAACAACTTCACTGATACCAGACACTAGCTCCCCCAAGTATTCCTCTTCACGTGGCCGAGACACTATTTGCAGGATACCTCCGCTGCCCAAAGGACGGAAACTGAGTTTATTGGGCGGTGGCAGTGAGGCCTGCTCCTGGGAGTCGGACAACTGAGACCCAAGCGGATAATTTGCCGGGATCTGCTCGGACGGTGGACTCTGCAGCGTATACTTGTTAAATGTCACGCTCTTCGAGAGTTTCGAGTGTCGCGCCGCGTAACCCTCTATGGTCGGTGCTCTCATCAATTTTCTTAATTCGGCGGTGGCAGCCTCGCGATCCGGCGTGCTCGTCGCCGAGGTCTCCGAGCTTCCGGTTCTACTACCGGCCGACAACTTCTTCAGGATGCTCTTCAGGTTCCGCCTTTCTAGCGTTTCGTTCTCCGGTGACAATTGATCCGTCGGAGACGCGGCGTCTTGTCGATTCTGAACAGTATAGTGTTTTGTCGAGATTAGTACCTATTACAGAACGAAAGTGTGGATTCAGTTCTCTCAGTTTGAAACTTTGTCGAAAGATTGTTTAAGACAAATATGAAAAATATTGTAGAATTCATCGAAACGAGGAAAACTCACTTAGTATTATTACTTCTTTTTTTTTTTTTTTAATTTAGTACAGTATTTGCAATCTGTTCGGAATGAATTTGAATTACACGTAGAGACGTTCTCTGTCTTTTTAATTAACCAATTAGTTATCTAATAATGACGATTGAACTACTGTTGCTAGTTTGAGTTGCAGTGAATCTTATGGATAAATCCATGGGCTTGAAACGTTTTAACCGTCTCACTTCGTTTAGTAATTCGTTGGCCGATGAAAATTCTTAATACTGTAAAAATAGTAACGATACAAAGATCACGGTGTTCTTTGTCACTAAGTTACGTTACAAGATTTACCCCGATTCTCACTGTAATCGAACAGTTCCACTTTAACAGGCTTGAGAAAGAGAGCAAATCAGCCGTGTGCATCATGCAGAAATCGAAGCGCAGAACTTTCGCGTGCATAGCTGAATATATCGGTAAAGTTTCCTATGTCTGGAAACTACTATTAACTATTAGTCAGCTAAACACAGCAACGATAGCCGCGCACAATACGGTGGGATCTAAATTCACCGCGATTGGATTCATATCTCAACGTCGATTGACGTTACGTTTCAATGTACAACCGCACCGTATATCACCGTTTCAATAGTACTTCCGGAACGAGATTTTCTCAAAACATTTTGCTGTACTCTGTACATACAGAGGTATTTTATATCTCTGCAATCCTTCACGTCTTCAGCTTCCATAAATTTTAAATCGTACAGGTTTTTTGGGGCTTCGAAACGATACTTCAGAACTGCTACTGAATTATTAAAACTGAACCTCCTGTATAATCGAAAAGGCAAATTTAAAAATTTTACCGTTTCAGTGAAATTCAATATTTGGTATATATTTTTAATAATAACGCATTGAACAAGTGAGCGTGGTTACCTTTGCTAACACTTTACTTGCTCGACTGCCATTTTAACCCTTTAACCTACAACAACGTGTCAGACTCGTGGCAGAAATTTTGGTGAAGATGCGAGAAAACTAACAAACTTTCCTTTCAACTTGTGAAACCGAGGATTGCTAAATGTAATTAACGTGCGATAGATTAGCTTTCGTTACCTGATACGCTACTAAAACGGTAAACGGCTGACGCTTAGATGAATGGTCAGAAAAAAAATCATAGGTTAAAGGGTTAACATGGAACGATAGACCGGCTAGATTAATATTACATCATTAAGGGATTCAAATTCCTATCTCTGAAACATTTCTCAACATACGTTAACCGAGACCGGTTTGCTCCTCCCAATGGATCACATCTGCCTATACCGTCCAGGCTTTCGAAAAGAACTTCCAAGCACACAGACATACATACCTGATTCAATTTCTCCAACTTCCTCGCGTACTCTATCGCACAGGCCTCCGAGTGGCTCCTCGTCAAGTTCCCGTCGAACTCCAGTTCCGTGTTTTCCCCGCAGTCCAAACTCGAACTCCTGACCGCCTTCTCGAGCTCCGCTAACTTCTGCCTTTCGTTAAGTATTTTCAGTTTCTTGACGAATGGCAGACCGCAGTACTCAGGCGACAGGTCGTCCACGGACGCGTACATCTTCGTTTGCTGTCTCAGGTGTACCAGACTCTGCTTCAACTGTAACCTCCTCGTAGGAGGACTCCTCTGCGGCGAATTGTCTTTGTTCGTTAACGAAGCGTCCTTTAACATAGCCCACGGTTTCTTCGCGTTCGTACTGTTCGTATTCTCCGCGTTCGGAGTTGTAGGAGGTTTAACGATCTGTTCTACAACCGTGCTCTGTACCGACGGCTGCTTTGGAAGAGGTTTCGGTGTCAGTTTCGGCGATTGTTCTTGCGACTCCTCCGGTATAACGCTCTTCGGAAGCAGCGGTTCTTTAGTTGGTGCTTCTTTATCCGCCTCTTTCGCTTCTTGTTCGTTCTTCGCTTTCAACAGCAATATCCTTTGGAGGAACGGTAGATTCGGATTCGTTGGATTCTGTGCTTCTAAGGGAGGTGGCTGTGGTTCAGGGGTGTGCACCTGTGTCTCTACCAGATTTCGACGCTCCTCTCGTTCCTCTTTCTCTTTCAACAATCTTAATCTAGCTAGCAGCGGCAGACCAGCGCCTAGAGGCGATACAGGTGGTTCCTGGACGTTCGACGCAGAGGCATCTTGAGTGTCGTCGATTTTTTGCTGTCTTTTCAACGTCGGCGCTTTTGACGTTAGCGGTTGCAGCTCGAGGCTCTCCTCGGGCCTGGTATTACGCCTGCTCTTTCTCAGTGCGTTCTTCAGACCCTTCACGTCGCTCTTCAGCTTGTCGACGATCCTTTTGCCCGTGCTGTTATCCGACGAATCGTGGCCGGGTGATGTTGGCTGTCGCGAGGCTCTGGCCACCTTCTGAGCCTCCATCAATCGTTTCCTTCCCAGGTTCTGCAGGATTTCTTGCGCCTCTGGGTAATCCTTCATGGCCGCCAGAACGTCCTCGCGTGAGAGGCTGAACAGTTCTGAGTAACCTACCGAACGAACGTCGGCTGTGCGTCTGGAATTGGAAATTTCGTTTGTCAGATGAACGGAGACGTTCATTTCTTTTTTTTGAAATTAATTTTTCAGTTGAATTTCAGATGAACGAATCGTGGATTCGTTTGCAAAAGAACTGCTTCATCCTTCCAAGCTTCTATCAGAGATTTCGTATTTTTGTATCGGAAAATTTTCGCCAGATTCAATATTTACGATTGTTTCGACAACCACGTGTTAGCTAAGAATGGTTACTATAACGAACTTCGTGTACATGTCAATTATTCCATCGTAGCTGCACAGTGACTTCGTTCCACTTCAAATTCGTTATACTATTAGTTTTTGTAATTGAGTTAAGCTCTCTCGACGACTTCGGGACGAAGTTTAAGAAAGTTCGTTCTTGGTTCGTGTCTCTGCAGTGGAAAACCGTTAAGAGGATTAGTTTACGGTTGAAATATTCAACGGTGCAGTCAGTTTCCGTATGCTGTGAATAGATATTTTCCAAATCGTTCGCATCCATTCGTTTCGGGGGAGCTAACTGCCGAACGAAAATGACGGAGGAGAGACTGAAAATCGCGGGAAAAATTTCCGGGATACAAGTTCGAAAAAAAAAAGAAAAGAAGAAAGAGATCGACAAGTATCTGTCGAAATCACACCGTTCAATTCATTCGGAACAATCGGATTAGCTGATCACGTAATAAACGTAACTTGGGCCAATTCTCGAAATGAAACTGTTCACCGCTGCGGTAAACATCGAGACGTGAAATGAAATTCGAAATAAGTACTGTCCAGAGGTGGAGAACGATGAAACAAGAAAGTAGGGCGAGTTTATATGTGTGTCAGGGTTGGTAGAGGCGAGGAAAATAAAAAGGCGGACGGACAAAGTTGAAAGACGGGCTGTATCGATTCCACTTTTCGACTATTGCCGCGTTTTCATCGGAGTTACTTCGATTATGCGTTTCCCACAGAAATTTCACACGGTTCAGCCTCCCATGTATCAAACGAAACGTTCGCCTGGAACTTGCACGCGATACATTCGCCGAGAAAAACTTCTGCCTGCGATTATTCACCGGAAGACAAAAAACAAAAAAAAAAAACGAGAGGCGAAACTAGGAAGTTTTTTTTACAAAACAAACTTTCGCCATTTATTAGCAGGTAGCTCCGTGTATATACTGTTTGAAAGTATGTGGGCGCGTTAAATCACGCTTGGTGTTTCGCGTTATCCGATTATCGGATTAAAATAGATTATGTCGCTAATGGTAGCGCTGGATGTGGCTTAAATATTGTCCGAGTATCGTTCGTTCAAATGCCTAGAGAGCGTATTGTAACGTCAATGTAACGTAATTTTTCAATTAATTTTCCACAGTGACATAACGTAGCGTTTTTGTGATTAAATTTTTGTCAATGTTAATTACTTTTCACCGTGTACGTGTTTGAACAGAATTTGCAGGTTGAATCTGCTAGGATAATTTGTTTGAAATATGCTTAAACGTTTTATGATAATTGTTGTTAACGTAACGTGTGAGTGTGCGATTAAAGTTGACAAAGAGGAAGTAATGGAAAGTGGGTGAATAAATTTGCACGTGAAATGATATTTCGTGAATTATTCGAGCATCGGATATTATACGAGACCGTAAATCAGAAATAGGACAGCAAGTAGCTGGAGTTACTTACTTGTTTAATCCGTCCAGATTGAGAATTCCAATTTCTCCGAAGAAGTCCCCGGCTTTCATGGTAGTTAAAACTCTTCCCGTTTCGCTAATCACCTCTAAGATTCCATCTGCTATTATGAACATCTCCCTGGCCACCTCGCCCTTCCGGCATATCGAATCACCCGGTGTGAATATGTAAGCTTTCATTTTTAGAACGAGATCGTGGAGAAATTCCGGCTGACATTCCTGAAAATCAGAAAACGACAGAGATTTATGTGAATCGATGTAAATACTTCTCCTTGAGATGGTCTTATTTTCTAATTTATCAAAATACTTCGAAAAATTGCCGAAGAACAGTCGACAGACTTCAGTAACAATTATTAAGTAATAGGTAACACGATTAGTAATTTTTTGCTGGGTTTTTAAAAAATTCTTTTATTCAATTACCAATAGTTGCGCCTGTAATGGACATCAATCTGAGATCGATCTTTTCTTTAGTACTCATGTGGAACGAAAGTGTTAAATTCGTACGTAAATTGCGCGAAAAGTTCAATTTTAAATGTACCCTATCGAATGATCGACATAATCACAATAGTACGGCTCGCTTTAAATACGCAGGATGAGGAAACATTAATCTATAATTCGCAAAAACTCGCTATGATCCATTCCAGATATGTATGATACAGTAGGAACAACCTTCAACTCGAAAGAACATGATACGATCAACTTTAGCTACAGGATATGATAGGGACAAACCACAATCCACCAGAACATGATACTGCTAACTGCAAATACAGGATAGGATGCAGGACATGATAGGGACAAACCACAATCCACCAGAACATGATACTGCTAACTGCAAATACAGGATAGGATACGATAAAGACAACCTCAGACATGTAGAAATTCTATACAAGTGACACCAGGTACGTAAAATACGACAGGGACGACCTTGGAACCACAGGAACACAATAAGTCCGTCTAATGGTATGCAGGATGCGTTAAGGACTGTCTTTAGTACATACGAGTATAAGGTCCACTGGTTATATACAGGGTGTCCCAGTTTCTTTCGATCAAACTTTGTCAAACTTTGTCAGCGTGTTCTATGGGTATAAGTAAGAGAAAAAGGTTATATAAACATAGGTCGTTTGATGCTTTATTAACAAGTTTGAGCAATAATATGAAATACGAAGGAAATGGTAACGGAAGTGAGGTTATGATATAAAGTAGGAATAGATCAGTTTATACAAGCTGTGTTTACGATCTGAAGTCATTGAAAGTGTTGAATGTACTTTTTACCAGCGCCATTTGTTTTATATCATAATAACCGCAAGAAAACGTTTAACGAAGCTTCAAAGGACCTATGTTTATATAACATTTTTTTCTTACTTTTGCCCATAGTACATGTTGACAAAGTTTGGCAAAGTTTGATCGAAACAAACTGGGACACCCTGTATATGATATGACGAGAACAACTCAAAACTTATAGGAAAGTTTCGTTTGCTTTAGAGGACTAACAATAAGTGAGGAATACTTCTACAGTATCGTTTTGCCTTCTGAAACTTTTGATAGATCGTCCTGTTGTTTGCGACACCCTGTACACACTGAAACGTACGATGTTCCTGTGAATTATTAGTTATCCGTACCGCATTACATATATACTTGTAATAACTTTTACTGATATTACAATTGTCTTTATTATTATCTACCGACTTCTAGGTATATACTTGAGTGTTTCCTCTATCAATGTAAAGTAAATTTAATCCTCTCTGTTTAATATTTAAAGTCACATAAGTCTAGGAAACAACGTTCATCTTGCCTTTGCTATTCTCTTGCAAATTCGTTTCGTCCACCTTTGATCAAGTAGGTAGTACATGGCAGACGAGCCAGATATTCAGTTGTGCCTATAATTTTCTGTTACTGCAAGCAATTTCTCTTTGTTCACCGGATTTACAATAGGTTTCGTTAAAGTACGATCATCAGGATCGCGGTCGCGTTTCATGCGTGTATACGTACACACGATCACGTAAATACACAGTATGCCGGCTACGATATGGTAATGAAAGGACATTAAAGGTTTGGTGTCGGCTGGCTTTATTGAGGCGAACGGTGGCCGCAATTAAAAATCACATAAATGTGCCAATTACAGACGACGGTAATTATGCCTTGTAATAATGGGTTGCTCTCTTCTGTCCGCGAATTTTTCACCTGTGAATTTTGTGTCTGCGAATGTTATACAAATCCGAGGAAATTTCATTCGGTGGATTTAGCGTTTTGTATAACCGCGAGCAGTGAAAGAATAAAGTGTCAATTTCCGAAATATGATGCTCTTTACTCAGCGATTGTTCCTCCTCTGTTTCGATACACAGCATGATATTGGATTTAGTAGTATCTTTTTATATACGATATTGAAAATTTTAAATAATTTCCTAAATTTGCTTTTCTGCCTTTTTTATGTAATGTAATTTTATAAATATAATTTTGAATAACTTTTGGTATTCTTTCCTCCTTTTCTATTCGCAATTACTTTTATTTTTCACGATTCTCTCGAGTATTTTCATTTCCAAAATTTTTCATCTCAAAAAATCTAGGAAGGAAAAATTACTCGTCTCTTTCTTATATTCTTTAATTACCATTTGTCATTACGTTTCCAACCAGTTTAACGTAAACCACTTGAAAACATAATTGCATCGAGCACATTTTGATCAGTGAAATTCTCACAAATTGTCCATTTACTTATGAACAGTCTAAGGGAACTATCCACTTTATTTTCGAGATCAGATGACGGAGTAGTCTTCACGCGTATTAGCTGGTATGATAGCATAAGCAAAGTGACTGAAATTAGCAACCCTCTTATTGATTCCTTGAGGACGACCTTGCGGTTTCTGCTCTCGCACGCGATATTGAGAGGAGGGTATATCTCAGTGAATATTAACGGATGCTTGTCGTCGTTAAATATACACAGAGCTGCATCCATGCATGCTTGTTAAGCAAAAATAAATATCGGAGAAGTAAGGTTGTGACATAATCCATTCACATATCCCTGTAGTTCCTTTTCTTCTCTGTTCTCAACGCACATATTCCTCTTCTTACTTTTTCCCTTCGTTCTCTCTACGAAGATCTCACATCCTGAGAACCAGAAGATCAACCTTGATTGTTCCAGTCTCAAATTTTAGAGATATCACGTGTTTTAAAATTTACGTTAAAACTGCAATCATCTTCCATAAGAAGGGTTGACTGAAAAATTTGTATCTTAAATACTTATTTTTAAATAAATCTCTCAAAAGTTGTAAGCAATGAATTTTGCACAATATCATATTTTTCAGTGCCCGCGCATACTGTATTCTACATTTTGTAAAACCAAATATTTCCTTAAATGCGTCTTTCGCTGCCAAAAAAATCGAACATCACCAAATGTTAAACACCTATTTTCAATAGCAGTTGAATAAAAGGATCACGAAGAGTCGCGTTCTATTTCACATTTCGCATACATCCAATTACACGTTGCTTCTTTCACGTTCTTTATTACCATCTTCGAAATGCGAAAGGTCGCAGTACGCGCAACTTACTTCACCGTGAAGATTTCCTTTCGTAATTCTCATTCGTCTGAACGAGCAGCGTCGAGAACGGATCCTTAAGTGGGATTTCGAAGCAACTTCTTTTTATATCTCCTCCTTCCTTTCCTCAGATCTGTCTCAGATGGCGTGGAGTTGCCTCCGGATAATGGAAATTCTTCGGATATTATTTTGACGATCGCACCCTCCTCCGCTCCCTCCGCCACCCTCTTTTCTTCAGGCTAACATCTCCGATCTCCTTCCCGGAGCTCTTTTCGTGTCATTTTGCGGTTTCCACATCGCGGCCAGACAGGCGATCCCGCACTCGTGACAAACGCGCGCTGCTTGCAGCAGCGGATGTGCTCGAGCATCCGAGGAAATCGTCCTTATGGTGCCAGACATCTTCAATGTCAGCTGTTTGCCGAATCTGGGACATTCCCGGATGCTCTTGTTGTGTTTTTGCCGAAGTGTGTCATGTGTCTCGAAAGACAATGCTCGATTGCAGGGTCTGAGGAATTGTTTCCAGGACTCTGTGGGAATTCTTTCGAGAGTCGAACCAACATTTTTCGTTTTACAGTGCTTGCTGATTGCCCTTTGGTGTGTTTTTCTGGCGCATTAAAGGGAATGTACAATTGCAGATTAAGGAACTGCCTAATAAATGAGAATTTTCAATATAGTAAAAATTTTCAAAAAAAGAAAATTTTCAATATAACAAAATTTTTAATAGAAGAGAATTTTCAATATAATAAAAATTTTCAACATAAGAGAATTTTCAATATAATAAAAATTCTCAATAGAAGAGAATTTTCAATATAACAATTCACGTGGTGTGTGGTTTTATTATTACCTACAATTCTTGTGAGAAACGAATGAAAATTTTAGGTATAATGTTTCCTCATTGTATTTTATATTTGCTAATTATGCTTTGGTGTATTCTTCGTGAAGTATTTGATTTATCTTGAAAGAGAATGCGCAATTATAAATTAAGGAACTACTGGAAGAAAATCTCCAATACAACACAAACTTTTAGCATAATAATTCACGTGGTGTGTGTTTTTATCGTTTCCTGCAATTAGTTATGTCCCGAAGAAGTGTACCTTACGTATCCTACTTTATAGGGTTCGATTGTGGTCGAAGGACCAGTTCAAAGAGGCTCCAGAAGGATTGCGAAGACGTCGAATGAATATTTCGAGCATAATATTTCGTGTTGCAGTTTGAAACAGTGAAACAAATACTGTCGTTCGTCTTTGCAGCGTGAATCACTTTTCCAAAGACAAATAACACAGGGAACTGTCGTTTGTTTGAACGGGTAGTGCAACATTCGCCCATCACGTTCGTGCACAGTTCGCCAAAAATTTTCCGATCCTCTGCTGGAAGTTCGTTTCCCAAAAAACGTCTGCTTTGCACAACTGTCACGTTTCAAAGAACTTTTTTTTCCAGATGAACATTTTTGCGACTGAATGGATCACCGCTGGGGAATACGGGACTGCCGAAAGTCTGAAACTGCTTGAAAATCTTGGATCCGGGCTGCTGGTCACACGAAAAACCACTTGTTCACCCTTTTTAACGCGGCGGTTTAATTTTCACTGCCTGTTGTACAACACTTTTTGTAGACCGTAAGTTTTTAACCAGTTTTTTTTTAAGTTTTAACCAGTATGCAAATTTTCTTTTATTTCGTGAAAGTTTCTCGGA